TCTGACTCTTCGAGTAGATGAGAATGTCGTCAATAAAGACAATCACGAACTGATCGCGGTACGGATGAAAGATACGGTTCATGAGATCTATGAACACTGCTGGTGCATTGCTGAGACCGAAAGGCATGACTACAAACTCGTAATGGCCGTAACGAGTCCTGAAAGCGGTCTTAGCGATGTCTGACTCCTTAATCTTCAGTTGGTGGTAGCCTGACTGTAAATCGATCTTCGAAAATACACAGGCTCCCCTCAACTGGTCGAATAAGTCGTCGATCCTGGAAAGCGGGTACTTATTCTTAATCGTCAACCGGTTGAGATCCCGGTAGTCGATACACATTCGCATAGATCCGTCCTTCTTCTTAACAAAAAGAACGGGTGCTCCCCACGGTGACACACTCGGTCGGATAAAACCGAGTCGAAAAAGCTCCTGGATCTGAGTCTTAAGCTCTTGCAACTCTTTAGGTGCCATGCGATATGGGGCTTTAGATACTGGACCTGCTCCTGGAATAAGATCAATGGAAAACTCCACCTGACGATTGGGCGGTCCTCCTGGAAGCTCGTCGGGGAAGACGTCAACGAACTCGCGGACGATAGGAACATCATGAGGTGTCTGCGCTCTCTGGGAATCCTCAACAAGGCTTACCAGGTAACCCTGGCAGTTGCCTCGTCGCAATAACTTAGTGGCTTTCGCCATCGATACAACCTGAGGCAATGAACGGTTCTTGGAGCCGAAGTCTCCCGGAAGATAAAGGGTAATCTCCCGGTCATGGCACCTGATATCAGCATGATAGAAAGAAAGCCAATCCATCCCGAGAATAAAATCGAAATCCTTCATCTCGAGAACGAATGCGTCGGCGGTCAATACTCGGCCACCGATGGAAAGGCTAAGGTCTGTAGCTTTGGCTGAGGTCACCATCTTTCGACCCGAGGCTAAACTGACCTCGAGAGGATCGACAGCGGTGACTGCATGAACTCCGATGGCGTCGAGACACCGTCGGGAGATGAAGGTGTGCGTTGCTCCAGTATCGAATAAAGCGAATACAGGAACGTCATTAAGAACGATCATCCCGGACATTGTACCTGGTTGCTGTGCTGCCTCCGCCTGGTCGACCGCGTAAACCCTGGCCTGCTGCCTGCCTCGCTGCCACAGCACCAATTGTAACACCCCACCTTACTAGTAAATCAGAGTAGCGCATTTATTCGCAAAGTCTGTGAAAACCAAAACATTTTTACTCTGCGAAACTGTTTTGGGGTGCTACCGTGAAAATCTTTACTTATCTTTAGAAAAACCGTTGTTTTAACTTATTAAAAACGTCCGGTTATTTAAAAACTGGGTTATCTGAAAAGTTCGTCAAAATACCATAAAACCGTCAAAATCATCAAACCATCGTCAAAAGATAGTCAAAATGTAAGCGGA